GTGGGACACGCCGCCCGGGCCATCAGTCAGCGTCAGGGACGAGAATCCCTGAGAGGCACCCGCAGCCCTCGGGGAGCCCCGGCCCAGAACGGACAGTGGGGAGCAGGGGGCGCAGCCCGTCCCTGACCCGAGACACCCCCGGTCCAAGCATCACGCGGAGAAACAGCCCAGCCGGGGCGAGTCCGCGTGGCAGGCACGGGTCCTGCATGGCCTTAAACACCTGGCCAGTGGCACCAGGATTCGGGAGCCTGGGGAAATGCCAGATCCTGGCTGAGCCAACTCTCCCTCAATTCCCGGAGAGCCTTGGGGGGGGGGGCAATGTCCTGTTTGTCCCCGGGGTCCCTGCCCACTCGATGCTGGGTTCTGGGACCCAGCGGGCTGCTCCTGTCTGGGGCTCCCCGGCCCAGAAACCCAGGTGAGTCCTAAGCAGACAGACACTGCCACTCCCGGGACTCACGGCGCCCCGTCCCTGACAGCGAGGGGGGCCCAGAGGCCACGTCCAGGTCTTCATCACCCCGCGGGCAGTGGGCTCTGGCCGGGGAGAGCCGCAGGAGGTGCCGAGAAATGGCGGCGAGGCCTGGAGTCCAGAGGAGCAGCCGCGGGAAGAAGAGGGGCACCTGGCCCACCTTTCCTTCTTTGCTCAGTGGATTAGCACCCCGTCCGCAGCCTGAATCCCCATCAGAGTGCGAGGCGGGTCACATGACGCCCATGCCCACGGGCCCAGCCCCCGGCTCCACACCCCGCATCGCGCTGTTTCATAAAGAATCAACTCACTCAGAATCAGGGGGAAACTGCCCTTGATGACATCCGGTGCCTCCACTTCACAAACGCGCCAGGACTCAGCCCAGGCCGTGGGGCCGGGGATGGGAACACAGGCAACACGTCCGTTTCCGACGGTTCCAGGCATCAGAACGACCCCACCACCTGGTATTCCAAACTCACGGAGTCCACGCTCTGACACACAAAAATCACGGCTACGCACAGGATGCACGTACGTGCTGTGAGCAGCAACTCCTCCAGGGGTTCACGTCAAAAACTCCGAACGGCGAGAACCAATGGACACGGCGGCCACGGGGACCGGGACACAGGAAAGAGCCAGGGGACACGGCGACCATGGGGCCGGGGAACTAGGAAAGAGCCAGGGGACAGGCAGCGAAATCGGTTCCCCACCTGCCACCCCACCTGCCACCCCACAGGAAGGAGGGCTTCAGGGCTCACACACCTTCCTGGGGGGTTATACCCACGTGACCAACTCCCATCTAAGCTCATTTTAACCGACCGGTGTCACTGCTACCCCAAACATTTGGTATTAACACGTCAAACTGACATGCGTGTAAGTGGTGATGCTGCAGGGACGTGTCCCCCGCGATGGCGCCGTCTTCGTATTCGGAGCCTCATTTCTGAGGAGCTGCCCTGTGGCTCCGGGAATCGTCCCTCCCTTTGGAGCTTGCACACCATCTGGGATCATTGGCCTCCTCCCTGTGCAGAGCCACCGAGTGATGTCCTGCCCGAGGGGAGATGGTGAAGCAGCGGGAATGGCTCTTCCTAAGACAGCGGTTCTCAACCTGTGGGTCGCGACCCCTTTGGCGGTCGAATGACCCTTTCACAGGGGTTGCCTAAGACCATCCTGCATATCAGATATTTACATGACGATTCATAACAGTAGCAACATTACAGTTATGAAGTAGCAACGAAAATAATTTTATGGTTGGGTCACAACATGAGGAACTGTATTTAAAGGGCCAGAAGGTTGAGAACCACTGTACCTAAGAGATTTACACCAAGAAAGACGGGCACTCAGGTCAGGGTCCTTCACTGAGGTCACGTCTGAACACATCTCCACCTTCCGACAGCTTAGCCTTCCTTGTTTTAATATGCTTTTATTGATTTCAGAGAGGAAGGGAGAGGGAGAGAGAAACATCAGTGATGAGAAAGAATCATGGATCGCTGCCTCCTGCACGCCCCCCACTGGGGATCGAGCCCGCAACCTGGGCCTGTGCCCTGACAGGGAATCAAACCGTGACCTCTTGCTTCGTAGGTCGACGCTCAGCCACTGAACCGCATCGGCTGAGCAGAACCGGCTCCATCTGTGGGTCCTGACCCGGTTCGGAGGGAGGCCAGCGCGGCGTCGGCTCCGATGGGTGCTGGCTGCCTCACCCCGAGACATTCGGCACCGACCAGACCCAGGTCACTGAGAAAGGCCACTTTTGAGGAACGGAAGGTATTTAAAATCAGGTATTTTCCATGAGCAGATGCAGCTTAGAGATGTGCTGTGTCTGGTGTCGTCTGTCCGGCCCGTGGCCCACGGCGACGCTGCCCGGCCTGGGTGGGACGCTGTCCTGGCCACGCCCACGCGTCCCGGGGACGCACAGCGGTTTATTTCATCTGGGGCTGGTGAGGTGCCCTCGGGCGTCTGGTCACGGCACACACGACTTGACTTGGACTCTGCTCTCTGGTGTTTTATGCTCTCATTCCTCTTCAGCACACGACTGCCCCAGACACCTGCTCCCGGGCGGGTGGGTGACGTCGCCGGCACAGCCCTCAGGGGGCTCTGGGCGTCAAGCCCACAAGCTCAGTACTAAACACCTGAAGGCGTGGCCGGAGGAGGTGGGAGCATCACGACCGACACATGTGGCTCCCGCTCCCTGCACCGCGTGCAGAGGGCGTGTGAGGGACCGGGAAACGAGTGGAATGCTCACGACAGGGATTCCTGCCCCGCCCGTCACTTGCTAATGATCCCACAGGGTCCTGCTCCTTCCCGTCTCGCCCTCCACGACGGAAATAATTCGCCGGAAATGGCGCTGGACCGCAGCCTCGGCGGATCTGGGCCGCGAGGCAGTGACAGCTCATCACTGCGGAAGGGACGCTACGGGGCGGCCCCGAGCGGTTATCAGAGGAGGAGATGGGAAATCCAGGGACACAGCCTGAGCAACCCAGGCCTGACCCCAGGGCCCCCCGCCTGGCCGAGTCGGCAGCCAGGGCCCTGGGGTCTCCTGTCGACACCCCCACAGGGCTCCCACCGCCACGGTTCTCACTCAGCAGCGTCTGAGCCACGGACGCCCACAGCGACACTCACAATATTTTGCATCTTTAATTTTAAAAAGGGATGCTGGTGTCTACTAACATGTTTCAGCCAAAATAATAAATGTGAGACATCACAGAGGGTTGGATGCGGAAATCGTTTTGTTGAAATCGGGCATTAAATGCCCTTTAATCCCGGCCAGTGTGGCTCACTGATTGAGCATCGACTCATGAACCAGGAGGTCACAATTTGATGCCCGGTCAGGGCACATGCCCGGGTTGCGGGCTCGATCCCCAGTGTGGGGCATGCAGGAAGCAGCCAATCATATTCTCTCTCATCATTGATGTTTCTCTCTCTCTCTCTCCCTCTCCCTTCCTCTCTGAAATCAATCAATAAATATATATATACTAGAGGCCTGGTGCACAACATTCATGCACTCGGGGGCGGGGGTCCCCTCAGCCCAGCCTGCGCCCTTTAGCAGTCTGGGAGCCCTCGGGGGATGTCCGACTGATGGCTTAGGCCCACCTGGGGAGCAGGCCTAAACCGCAGTCTGACATCCTTAGCACTGCTGTGGAGGACCGCCGCTGTGCTTGCCAGCCATCAGCCGGGCTTGTGGCTGAGCGATGCTCTCCCTATGGGAGCGCACTGACCACCAGGGGGCAGCTCCTGCATTGAGCGTCTGCCCCCTGGTGGTCAGTGCGCGTCATAGCGATCGGTTGTTCGGCCGTTTGGTCGATTTGCATATTGCCTTTTATTATATAGGAATATTTTTAAATGCCCTTTAAACATGGAGTGAGCAGAGGAGGATGGCAGGAGGCTGGTGGCCACATGGGCTGCGCGCCCGCTGCCCGCTGCCCGGCTCGGGCTTCCCATGGACTGAGAGGCCCTGCAGCCCTGCAAACCCCTCGACTCCCAGGGGTACACGTCCTAACACGTTAACCTTCATGCGAGGGTGCATGTAAGTCTGAGAAATCTGGAGTATCAGTCAATCAAAGTGAACTTCACCTTATTGACAATAAATCAAAAGATGTATTTAAATCATTCAAATTTTCAGCGAGAGGAGCGTGGGTGAGTCAACATGACGAAAACGCCAGCCCCTGGGCGGACGTGATTCAGAGACGCGACGAGGGAGAAACATCAGCCAACATCCCCGCCCTGACCCGGGCCCAGCACACCGGGCCTTCCTTCCTCGGAGGTGAGCTCACAGTGCCGCGTCCCAGGGGTGACTAATTGGAAGATCGTATCTGTTTCCAGAACGTTCCCTCCAGATGCAGCCGGTGGTTCCGGTCCAGGCTGTCCCGGGCTGCCCTTCCTGTCCCTGAGGGATCCCAGCCCGCGAATCCAGGGGCCTCTGACCCGACATCAGGGTCCCTGAGGCTCGAGTCGCGGTTTTGTTCCTCATTTGCAAACCTGCGCTGACTCTAAATGGAGCTGAGCCCGGCCCGCGTGGCTCAGTGGTTGAGTGTCGACATAGGAACCAGGAGGTCAGGGTTCGAGTCGGTCAGGGCACAGGCCCGGGCTGTGGGCTCCATCCCCAGTGGGGGGCGTGCAGGAGGCAGCCGGTCGATCAGTGATTCTCTCTCATCACAAATGTTTCTACCTCTCTCTCTCTCTCTCCCCCTCCTCTCTCTAAAAAAATCAATAAAAACATATTTTTAAAAATAAAAAATAAACGGAGCCAAGCTGCTGCCCAGAGGAACTTCCCTGCACACCTGACCCTCAGATCTCTGCTGCCCAAACAGCAAAGTGCCCTTTGCACAGGGCCTGGGCGACCTCAGGACCCAAAGAACTTACCCTGATGGTCCGGCCCCGGTGGGCGCAGGACCCGCTCCGCCACGTGCGTGTGGTTAGGAGCTGGCACGCCGCGTGTTTACCCGTGAAGCTCAGGTCACTGTAATTACAAGGCGGCCCAGAGGCAAAACACGGATCAAGTAATTACGGCTCAGTGAGCGCCACGCGAGCGCCACCTGTCACCACCGTCAGCCACCCGCCCTCGGCTCCGG